AAGCCATAGATTAGTTCTCTAAGAAAAAGTCCCCAGGACCAGATGGATTTACAAGTAAATTCCACCAAATATCAAGGACTCTGATTTTTAATCATCGTATCAGTCCTAGCTGTCAAACATAAGGGCATCCATCATGTGCTCTAAAACCTTAGTCACACATGAGAAATTAGAATATGAAGGTGTGAAGAGCCAGTGGACTAGAAGAAGTACACACTGAGAAAATCCATGCTGGAGATGACAACCATGAAATCACTGATAGCATTTGGGGATCATTTTATATGATATTTCAGGGAGAGGAAGAAGCCCAAAAAAGTGGGGAAAAATCATAAGACAATATTAATACCAAAAAAGGTGATCAATAGGACATTAATAACTATGTATGCTTACTTATAAAATCTTTATGAGAGTGATCCTTAAGGGCATCCTTGATTAAAAATGAGCAGGACACAGCAAACAATTTTCTAAAATAGATCATATCATTACAATTAGTTGATTTAAAGGTTAAAAATAAATAAATAACCAAGATTTTTGCCGTGCTGATTAAAAAAGCTATTTTGAAGTCACAGAGCAAAATGGAGTCTTAAAGGTTCTTCTCCAGTAAGAACTCATGCCTATATTGTGATCATAGTTTTTATTTAATAAGTGGATATTTTATTGTTAAAATTCAAGAATATTATCAGCAATAGACTAGCAACATTAAAAACAAGATTTAAACTATTTATATATAGATGCTCAGAGGTCAGCTTCTAAGGAAGGAGCTGGAAGGGAGGAGAGAGAAAATAATATCTTACTGTAGGAGAAAAGAAGACCAGATCTTCTCTTCTGTATCTGGCTACAGACAGGGTTGCTCCTGAATTCTGAGTCTGTGACCAGGGCACATAGTAAAACACATAAGAGGAAGCCAGAATTTATGTGAAGTTCATTGGGGCATAGTTTTCTAAATAAAACAAAGTGAAGCCATGATTATAATCTACAACCAAAAGTCATTGACTCTGAGATGATCCTTGGATCAGCAGCATTGTTTCATTTTATGGACTGGAAGCAATGTAACTTTCTTGATAAGTTCCATCTGGCAGGTTTCATTGTTTATGAATCATTCCTAGGATACTTCTTTGTGCTAACAGAGAAATTCTTTCATAGGTTTTCTAACTTCTTAAACTTCACTTCTGGTTTCTTGGAATATGGAATATGCATCTAACTTGTAGGTAAGAGAGCTATTAATTGTTTCTCAATAAAAGTGATCTGATCCAGGTCAGGTTAACATGATACAAATGTATGCTTTAAATCCTTCAAGTTTCTACTAATGTTTATTGGGACACGTTTCAGTTCTAGAGACTTCAAACCTTAATAATTTCTTGAAAAGATGATGTCTAGGCTCTTTTTTTATCATGGCTTTGAGGAAGTCCAATAATTCTTAAATTAATTTCCTGGATCTATTTTCAAGGTCAGTTCTTTTTCCAATAAGATATTTCACATGTTCTTCAATTTCTTCATTCTTTTGGCTTTGTTTTATTGTTTCTTGATGTTTCATAAAGTCATTAGCTTCCACTTCCTCAATTCTAATTTTTCAGGAATTATTTTCTTCAGTGGGCTTTTTGTACCTGCTTTTCCATTTGGCCATTTCTGCTTTTCAAGGCATTCTTCTCCTCATTGGCTTTTTGTATCTCTTTTACTATTTAGCCTAATCTGTTTTTTAAGGTGTTATTCTCTTCAGCATTTTTTTGTTTCCTTTACCAAGCTGTTGACTTGTTTTTCACGATTTTCTTGCATCACTTTCATTCCTCTTCCCAAATTTTCCTCTACTTCTCTTACTTGATTTTTAAAATCCTTTTTGAGCTCTTCCATGGCCTGAGACCAATTCATATTTTTCTGGCAGGCTTTGAGTGTAGGAGTTTTGACTCTGTTGTCTTCTTCTGGGTGCGTTTTGATCTTGTCAACACAGTAAATTTCTATAGTCAGAATTTTTTCCCTGTTATTTTTTTCAGAATTTTTTCAGCCTTTTAAAAAATTTTTACTTTTAACTCTTTGCTAAAGTGGAGCTCTGCTTCCAGGGTGCTTTCATCCCAAACTCCTGTCCCAAGCTTCAGGCTTTACTGTGGCTATTTTCAGATACTTCTGTAAGTTTTCAGTTCTTTCAAGGTGGTGTTACGTAAAGAGAGTTGTGTTTACTACTCTTCTGGCCAGTGCTCTCATCTATGAGCTACCACAAGCACTCTTTTCCACCCTGAATACGTGACCAAGGTTCCACCTCCCTTATGGTTGCAAGTTCTGGTGAGTTACTGCTCCTCACTCTGGGACTACCACCTAGGACTGCAACCCAGATCTGAATATGGCCATTGCAACAGAGTCTTGCCCCCAGTGCCAGCAAAGAGATTCCTGTAATCTCCTTCTGACCAGTTGTTCCTATCCCCTTACCATCTGTGGGCTGAGATCTCTAGAAGCAGTCACTGCTGCTGCTGCTGATTCAGTGGCTCCCAAGACCTGCTCTCCTGGGTCTGTGCTGCTGGCAGGACCTGTGCTGGCCTGAGCTCCATTCTCATGTCGGTGATATAGACCTTTCCTGCAGATCTTCTAAGTTGTCTTTGGCAGGAAAATTATTTCACCCTGTCCCTTTGTGGGTTCTGCCCCTCCAGAATTAGTTTTAGGACATTATTTTAAGGTGTTTGGAGAGATTTCTGGGAGAACTCAGGATAGTCCCTGCCTCTCCCCCGCCTTGCTTTCTTGGCTCTGGGCACCCTTCCCCCACCCCAAGGATATTCTTGCAACAGGAAATGCAAGGTTAGCAAGTAACAAAAAAGCTAAGGTTTACATTAAATTTGGCCTTAGCCTGTTGTCTCTTCAGAGCCAGTTTCCACATTAAAGCACATTAGCTATATAGATGCCATAAACTGGTTAGTATTCACTGAAGTTTAGTGGGATGCCTTGCATCTACAAACTAAATTAACTAACAGCTCCAATGTGCTTTGCCACTGTAGACCCTGTGATTGTTTTTTATGTCAAGAGGGTCAAATGTACATGTTCACCAAAGTAATATTTACTGTCATGAGGGATGTCACAAAATCAGAGAATCTTAGAGTTCACAGAATCAAAAAACCCATAGACTGAGGACTAGAAGGGAATTTCAATACCTTCAATTTGACAAATCTCAAGTCAGTATACACTGGCCTGTACGGCATTTGGGAAAGAGCAACACTTGTAAAGATCACAAGATGTTCCCCTCTGGGATAGGACTAGGATTGTCCCTCTCTCAGACACATGGGTAAGCTAGGTTTTTTTTTGTTTTTTTGCTTTTTTTCCTGAAAGACAACTGGTCAAGGGTGCAAAGGTTCAAGTTGCTCAATCCTAGCCACAATTTCCAGGTAGACTTTGGCCATATTCACAAGGCTTCCTAGCCAAAGGGCATAAAAGGTCCACCTATCTGAAGTTAGGGCCATCGTTGTAGGAGACCACAGTAAGTCACTATCCCTCTCCCCCGATGCCGACCAGTTGTACTTCCAAATGGAGGGGTCAGGAGTGAGGTTGAGTCTAATCAAGTTAAGTGTTGCAGTATCCTTGCTAAATATCTTTTCTCTGCCATAGCTAAGCAGACTTGGAGTCAGACCCCATCTATTATACCCTACATAAAAATTCTTAACACAACTGTTCTTTCAATGATATTGACTGATCACAAATCTTGAAACAGTACAACCTTTGAGAAAACAAAAGCTGTCTTTTATCCAAAGAGCAAAGATGAGATGCATGTTGGGCACAAGAAAGCTGTAAAATACGATGACCTATATTCAAGAGGTGATATAAGCAACGTATGACTGAAAAAGTAGAAACACTTATCTCAAAAATATATGATTGGAAAAGTAAATGAGTTTATCCCAGAAATGTATGACTGGAAAAGTAGATGAGTGTATCAAGTAGAGAGGCCTAGGGATAACAGAAGGATAGCCTGTGGTATGTACTGGTACCCATGACATGTTAAAAAGATTTAAGAGAAGACCTACAACACACAGATGATATCATAGATATACTAAAACATTGAAATATTTAATTATTTGGTTTTTATTGGTGGTTATCATGTTTCTCATAATTCTTTTTCTTAAACAGAATACTGAATGGAAAGTCAAAAGATCTGGGTCCCAGATGTCATAAACATAGTATAACCCTAGAGAAGTTCTTTGTCCCACTGTATATCGCTTTCTTTATTAGTAAAATGTTGGAGTTAGGCTCCCACTAGAAAGAATTCTTGACTTGGAGCCAGAAGAAACCTAGATTTCAAATCCAACTTTTGACGCTTAGTAAGCTATGTGACAATAGGCAAGTCATTTATCTCTCTGAACCTCAGTTTCCTCATTTATAAAATGGGGATAATTTCTGCAGTACCTACTTCTCATAGTACTGTGAGGCTCAAATGAGATAATGTATATAAGGAACTTTGTAAATACAACAAGTTAATTGCTCCTATTGCCTCTAGGACAAAACACGTAATTCTCAGTTTGGCTGCCACCTATCTTTTCAGATAATTCATACTCCTCCTGAATATCAGCTCTCTTCTGATACAATTACCAATTGCATTGTTCCCCATACAAAACATTCCACTGCCCTCCTCTGTCTTGCACAGGGGACCCTACCAAGTATGGAAAACACTTCCCCTCTTACCTCAGTTTTCAAAGCACAGCTCAGGTGCCACACTGCTACAGGAAATGTGTACTCATTCTCTTGGTTGTTAGGGCTCTCTCCCTCTTGAAATTACATTGTATTACTTTGTTTTTAATTGTTTATGTGCTGTTTCAACCCATAGAACATAAGTTCCTTGAAGGCACTGATGGCTTTGTTTTTGTCTTTAGATGCCAGTGCCTAGCAGAGTGCCTTCCATATAGGCCCTCAATTAACAGTCATTTAATTATCTGGCAAACCTTCAGGTGCCCTATGAATGCTAATTAAGATACATTCTAGTTTTAAAACTCTGATTCTAAAATAAACACCTTTTAGAAACATTCTACATCACCCACCTGTGCCTTTGCCAATTTCTTTTCCAAGAGATCTCTTTCTCTTTCTGTTTGCTGTAGACGATTATTAAGCTCCACTATGTCTCCTTTCAGAGATGCCAGGGCTGCTAAATGGAGCTATAAAGACAGGAACAAAACAAAACAAAAAAAAAGGTTAAACCATAGTATGCCCCACCCAAAAAAAAATTTATTTTTTTTTTGCAACAGTTAAAAAAAAAAAGCATTAGTGTGTGCAGAAAAGACTAAATAAAGTCCACCATGTAGGAAAGGCCACCTATATACACTGAAGGCCTAAACTGAACTAAAAAATAATAAAATACAGAGAAATGAGGACCCTAGGTACTCCAGCTTTTTGACTCTCACAGGTTGTTAAGAAGGGTAAGACAGAATTAGCCTTTACCTTTAGAAAACCAAATAAATGCATAATACATAACTTGTGGTTCTGTCATATTATCAAGCTGCCAGCAAAGTCAGATATTTTCAAGGAACTAATTTAAACGGAAGAAAAGCTGGTTCTAGAGAGAAATTCTCTGTGAAGAACCAATAGCTTTCTTTCATTCTTTATTTGGAAGGTTTCTTTCCACTTCCTTTGATATTTGAAAATTCATCTAACAATTTTCCCTGCTCAACTTTCACTTTTCAGGACATAGGCTTACATCTAAAATTTGAGGGAATATCTGGTATTCTAAAGTCATCATGTAGTTTGACTAAAAATACTACTATACTATTCAGACTTAGTGGATGAAAAATTTCTGCCCTTCCAAAACAATTGGTACTGTATCAATCTCACATCTCATGTGTAGAGCGTAGGTAGCAGTGAAGAATAAAGAAGATTCTGTACTATGACCATGGAAAGTGTCAGAAAAATTCTGATTAAGCAAATGAAGTTGATCTTCAAGGATGGACATAGTTTAAGAAACACTAAAGAGATTTTCTCTTCATAGTGAAGAAAAATGCTCCATGTAAACTCCATTCTTTTAATGTCATTCAACTGATAAAATCTTGTCAGGATTCAAGTGCGGAAAAGGAGAAAAATAAAATATCGGGAAGGAGATTAGGCCTTAAAAGACATTATCACTGATACATTCAAATATTAGAGTGCATTCAATGCAATTAATTGCATTGGACTGCAAAGCAACAAATCAATAGCTGATCCAAAAGCAGAGAAGTCTCAATTTTAAAGAAAAGGCAATATTCACCTCCTTCCTTGACAAAGAAGTGACTGGGTTTCAGAGAAAAATTTTTTTTTGCATGTGAATAATCTCTCAGGAAATAATCTCTTCAGTGTTAGATGGCAGAATTTCCCTTTTCAGACACAAACTCAGTCAAAAGATATTCCTTTAATATCAGAGACTAAGACAGAATACCCTGTCTCATTTGAGTCTCAGGAGAAGATGTAATATATCCTAGGAAGAAGGATATGATGATAAAAAAAGTAATTTTTCTTTAAGAAACAAAGGGATGTGAAGGACTTCCAACTATGTATGTCTAGGCTTGATTTTCACCAAATAGTATCTTTGTGACCACTTCTGACACAGGATAGATCCAAAAGAGGTAAGGAACAGAAGAGAATGGAAGAGAAGGATGTATAGGCAACCTTCTGATCCTAGCTCCCTTTATTTATTTTAATTTAGGATTAAAAAGGCAAAGATTAGGCCTTACTGTTGGAGTGACAGCATGTAAACTACCATGTAGCTAAGTAGGCTAGGCTAGCTTTTTCTCAAAATGTATTAAAAACATTGTTAAGACTTAATTGGCTCGAGGGTTGGGGGGGGCGGGGGAAGGGTCAGGCCAATGATATAACTTCCTGGTGGCCAAAAGCCTACCCTGTATGGCAGATATTATGGTGATATTAGCCGCACTACACTATCTACTTCACAGAGTGATTGCATGAAAAGCTTAAGGTCCTATACAGCTGTGTTACCATAATTATGACAAACAGAGATAATCCAGGGCCTCTGTTTTTTTCTACCTGCTTGCTTGGGTCCACTGTCACAAGCAGTTCTGAGAGGCAATACAGGAGAAATAAAAGTAAATTGAATTACTGAATGTCACATTATCAAAACATGATAAGGATCTACAATACTCAAGGTACTTTGGGGAATACAAACAAGTATAAGACATGCTCCATATCACTAAGGAGCTTACAACTTGAAGATTTGAGATATGTCTCATTCTAATAAGAGGGTTTTTTTTAGAAGGCTGCAATTCACCAATGACAAGCACGAGTTTTATATTTCACCCCACTACTAAGAGTAATCAAAGAGGCGACACCGTATTTGTCACTTATAAGTTGCATCTTCCTTCCTCTCATGGAGTTACCAAGAATGGAAGAGACAGGAATAGCTTCAGAAATTCCAAGGATTACATAAATCATACTGTAACGAAGGCAATGAGACACCATTACGGACAGGCATCATTACCAACAAAGACAAGGATTAAGAACAGCAACAAGGAATGGGGATGGAGATTTGCAGCCAATTTTCAGATGATGGTGGGCTTAAATCCTGGAGGAGGTGTTTTAGAAGTTAAGGGCTCAATCTCCATAAAAATCTTCATAGAATCTGAGTTTAAAGGAACAATCTAGTTGAAATCTGTTTCTGAATATGAATCAACATACTTGTGAACTGGCCATCCAGCATTTGCTGGAGGGTCTTCCAGGGAGGGAAAACACGTGGCCTCCCAAGGCAACTCCTTCCCTTTTTGGTTTGCTTCAATCTGTTAGAAAGTTTTTACTGACCTTAAGCATAAAACTGTGTCTTTGTAACTTTTCCCCATTGCTCCTTATAGTGCTTTCTGAAGCTAAGCAAAACAAAGGTAATCCTTGAAACTTAGATCTCTGGAGGTAAAAGCAAGCAATAATTCCCTTGTCTAAGATGCCTCCCCCAACAGTATCATTTTTATGTTTTATTTCAGGCTATATCTACAGATAAGCAATCAGCCAATTCAACATTTAAAAATCCAGTCGGTTGCTACTTTAATGAGAACAGACAATTGTTGGAGTTTTTCACTTTTCAACTGGCAATACAGCCTCACGTAGTCTGTAATGAACCAAATATGCATATAATTCTGGAAACAATGCGATTTTTGAGCTATCTCTCAGAGGAAAATGTCTTTTCTAAGCTTTAGTCAGTTCCAGAGATAAAAAGTCAAGCTATTTCTAAAATGTTCTGTAAAACAAGGAAACCTGACTACACTGACAAATTAAATTCAATGGCCAATGGTCTGAAGATTTTCCTTAAAAAAAAAAAGAAAGAAAAGATTGGGTCTTTGGCCTTTTCCAGTCATATAGTACTTACTGAACAGACAAGAGTCCTGGTTCTGGGACTGGAAATCTTGAGTTCAAATCTGGCCTCAGACATTTACAAGCTAAGTGATTGGACAAGTTACCGAATCACTGTCTGCCTCAGTTTAGTCAACTTAAGATGAGGAGAATAATAGCACCTATCTCCCAGAGTTGTTGTGAGGATCAAATGAGATAATATTTGTAAAGTGCTTAGCAAAGTACCTGGTCCTTAATAAATGCTTCCTTCTTTTCTCTTATCCTGTTACCTGCCCTTCCTTCCAACACGAACTGGCTTTCCTGTCCTCTATAACAAATTCTAGGAGAGAGTAGTTACTTCATCATTTGCTGGAAGTGTCAAGAGTAAGAAAAAAACAAAGAATGAACAAATGAATAAACAACTTGTATACATCCTACTGCTAGACACTGAGCCAAATCCCCTTTCCTTGCTCAAGAAGAAGCTAGTTGATCCAGACTGAACTGTCAACCTTATCGTATTCATTTAATTTATTTGGGTTTCATAAAGCTATGGTGATTCCTGAATGGTTCAGACTCCTCCCTTCTCCTATGAAGGGAAGGAAAGAGACAGACCTTCTCACCTGTTTCAGGTGCTCTCCAAAGACCTAGAAAGTTATGGAATCCGGAAAGAACTAACTTGTCCAAGTTCGAATATTATGAGCAACGAGGTAGGATGTTTGAGTGAGGGTCAGGTTGCTACTGTTTTGTCACTTTTCAGTCATGTCCAACTCTTAATAACCTCTTTTGGGGCTTTTTTTTGGAGGGGGCAAAGATACTGGTTTGCCATTTCCTTCTCCAGAAACTGAGGCAAATAGAGTTAAATGACTCGCCCAGGGTCACACAGCTCCTAAGTGTCTGAGACGAGATTTGAACTCAGAAAGAGGAGTCTTGCTTATTCCTGGTCCGGCACCATATCTACTCTGCCTTAACATTCCATGTGATCTCACATGGGTGGTTGAATTAGATGACCTCAATGCAATTTTTACAATGACCTCAAAAGTTTTAGGGGTTTACATATATGTGCATGCATATCTGCCAAAGCACATGAAAAAGACATTTGACAGATTATGATACACACACAGGCAGAAAAGCTGTTAAGTTGGATGGATAGATGGATGTGTGCCTATGTGTGTGTGTATATATATATGTATGTATAATTATTCATACCCAACTTTTAAAAATCATATATTTATATATACATGTATACATACATACAAATATATGTGTGTATGTCTATACACATAAACACATAATCATAAACACTGCCAATGAATTTGATCCAGAATTGAAAAGGAGTAACAGATCAAACTGAATCACAACTCGGTAACCGTGTCATGTTCTCAATCATCCTAAGCAGCCCGCTCCTAACAAAATTATTTTTCTAACACCAAAATCCTTCAGGTAATTTTACATAACTGTGAATGATAGAATACCATCAACTCAGAAGAACAGAAATGGCAGCTGACCCAAGTGGAAAAATCCATGGTTGGAGCTGGGTTATTTGTGCATGATATCATCATGGACATGATAGCTGGAAAAATACATAGACCAGGCATATAACAAGAATGAAAAGAATAGGCAGGCAACCTGAATGTCTAATCCAAGTAGGACGCCTAGTATATTGAAGGAACTAGAATAAGACTTCTAATATGCTTAGAGGCAACATAGAAGAAATGAAGAAAACTGTAATTAAAACAGATGAGATATTTTACCTCTAACACTTAGTAACTTTGAAAAGCTAGAAAAGTCACAATTCCTCTAGGGTTTGCTCTGCTCATCTGTAAGACAGGGAAAATAATAACTTATTGTACTCTCCTTTTTAGGTTCTTTTCATATGGTACAGTTTAGTGCTGAAAAGAGCATAAAAAAGTACTTTTTGTAAAGGAAAAGATTTAAATAAACTATTAAAGGTTGTAAGCCATTGCCACTGTTATGTATGAATATTTTGATGCCTGATATTTTAATAAAAATTGGAAATGTGTGGAAAACAGCTCTCCAATGAGAAGTGAGAAGTTTAGGACAGAAAATGAAATGTGCCATAAAGACTCAAATCACCTTTTGAATAGTGAGAAAGATTTTTCATGTGTATAGGTACAGTTTAATGTAAGCCAAAGGTGCAGAGAAATCATATTTATTAAAACCTGGAAAAACTTGAGCACAATGAATTACAGTTCAAGGACATGAAATGTGCTGAAATGACATTGTTGGTAAGTTAAAACTGTGGAGTCCCTCAGCTTATTTGCACATATCTTTTTAGGATTAAAGAGCATAGAGATTTTAAAATGACAAATCACGTACATATTTGAAAAACTGAAATATGATGAACATTTATTTTGGCCAAATGAATCTCTGGATGTGACCATCTAAGCTCTTGTTCCACGAATACTTCATTTGGAACTTTAAAACCCACCAAGAAGTTCTAAGATCTCGGCCTTTTTATCAGTTATAATGAAACAAAGATTCTATGTAGTTGGTGAAGTCTAATCAGCTAAATCAATAAAACTGAAGTGGAAATAGGTTCAGAGGGGAGGAAAGCGAAAAAGTACAGCTAAAGAAACATGAACATTTTTCTTCCTTTCTCAGGAAATAGGAACATTTCATGGCTTCATCACCTTATTAAGTTAGCTCCTAGTTAATTGGAACAGCTAATGCAGGTGGCCACAACAGGGGAAAAGCAAGTCCATTCTCATACTGACCACCTCTTCCCCTTTTAAAAATCCAAAAGATGTGCCTTGAGAGATGGATGGAAGGAAGAAGGGTATACCATTTGTGATTATACTTGGGATTAGGTTAGCATTTCCTTTGATATCACGTTAGAATGAGAAAACAAATCAAATAAGTTAATAAGTGTTTATAACTGGTTAATAACCAGTTGGATGATTTGGACTTCCCATCAGCATCCTCACCAGCATTCCTGAAATAACCTATGTAAAGCGTGATACTGTGGGGAGTCCATGTCATGTCAAGAGCTACCTCAGGGATCCCACACCTGTGTTAAAATTGTCATGATGGCCACACCACCAGTATTTTAATAGACTATATATTTCACAGGATGATTGTGAGGATCAAATGAAATAAACTATGTAAAGTTTGTTGCAAAGCTATTTTTATAATAAATCATGGAGACGTGGAAAAAACACATGAAAGATCTCATAGGGTGGGAAAGTAAAGAGGAATTGCCATCTCTACCGTTAAAGGGAATACCCACATTAATGAGACCATGGATTGATCAAAGAAATTAAATTTCTGCCTGCATATATGCTTACCTATTGATTATTCCACAAGTCTGAGGAGGTCCTACTGAAATATAATAGTAAAGTGAATGCAATAAAAAATAGTGAAAATATGATAAAAAAAAGAAGTAAATATGTTTCAAATAAAGATAAATACAAAATATTTTCCTGTAGCATTTAACTAAGAACTCATTTAGAATCACAGTCTAAGAATCAATCATCTCACTCCACTTAAATTAGCCACCTTAACCAGGTGAGAACACTTTCATGAATTAATCATTCAAGGACTTGAGACTGAGAAATGCTTGGTCAATTTGGAAGGTATAAAAGCCATTGAATGAAAAAGTAACACTACATAGTAGGTTTACTTGAATTGACTAAAGAGACTCAGTCATACCCTGTGGGCCTTGTATAAAAGAGCAAGCCAATTTGGAACTTGAGTCCCAGTGTCTGGAAGTCTAGACAAGAAAGTAATACGGGTAAATTACTTGGTTGGAGAGGACAAAAAGAGCCGATGTCTCCTCCTCTCCTTTCCCCTCTCTCCAAGAAAAGAACTATGACTTTTAACCAGTTGGATGATTTGGACTTCCCATCAGCATCCTCACCAGCATTCCTGAAATAACTGTGGACGTATCTGCTTTGGAAGCTGATTCCCAAACTAGACATTCTAAGGAAAAGTAGCTTTGGAATCCAGAAGGAGCTCAGCTGAAAGCCACACCATCCCTAAGGATTTGTTCTGTAAAACTCGGACTCAGTCAAAAGGCCACACCCAAGGACTGAGAAGGCCACATGTGACCTCAAGGCTGCAGGTTCCCCACCCCTAGACCAGGTCAAGACTAAGAACCCAGGGATCTTAACTCTCAGTCCAGC